GGTTTGGTTTAAAGTTGGCCTCTGGGTGTGATGATTCTTGTGCCTCTTTGGCTGGGCCCTGCTGCAGAGTGATTTTAGAGCAAAATAGATCAGCAAGCACAACCACAACAGCCACCAAAAGAAACCGGGTACTCTCACATGTAAAAAACAACTAACGGCCAGCAGTCAATGTGCACAGAAATATCAAGCATACAAAAACAAGCAAAACAAAATAAACACGAGAAACAAAATAGCAACACCCCCCCAAAAAAATTGCAGAAAAATGGAAGTGAGGAGGAGTAGAGCAGTGAAAAGAAAGAAGAAAAGATGGGAGAGAGAGAGGGGAGAAAAGAAAGAAGAAAAAAATATACATATATACGTCTATACACCCATATATATGGACATATATATGCATATATATACATATATATGTACCTATATGAAAAACTAAAAATGATAATGAAATAGAAAAAACAACAAAAACAAGCAAACAAACAAAAAACCCAAAACACCCAAGAAAACAAGAAAAAAACAAAAACATGCCAAAAAGAACCAGTGCCAGTCTTGGCTAAAGTCCACCGAGCTCTCTCCAGGTTGTCCTCTGCTGTACAAAAGCTCCTCTGTGTCTTGGGGGGGGCAGAGCCGGCTACCTGGCACCCAGAGTGATCTTGGTGATGCAGGTCTTGATGAATGGGGTTATGAGGTGTGACTGGTAGTTTCTACAAAATCAATTCCATTTCTGCACTCGCCTGCCCAGAGGCATAATGAGAACTGTGCCACCAGAAGGCTCGATGTGTGTCTTCGGGCACTCTTTCCGCTGGAGGCTGTGGCGAGTGTGAGATTCCTGAGCCACCTGCTGGGGTCCTGCGAGTGACTCAGCAACTGAAGTTGCCCTGCTTTCCAAGCCGAGCAGGAAAGGTAAGGGAGGGATTGGCGGACCCACACTCTGCAGCCTCTTCCCTGGCTGAGTTCACCTCTGTAATCTGACACTACTCCTCCATTCAGGGATCAGCTTAAGACTCTGGAATTGCAGGGGTCAGGGTTTCCGAGGGAGGGTGGAGGTGGGTTCTTATCTATGCAGTTGTTTTTTGCTTTTTGTCCGAGAAAAAGAAAAAAACAAAAAGCAAAAAACTGTCCCGCCGCCGTTTTGAGCTGAGGCTTCTGCCTCAGATGCTCCAGCAGTGCTCCTGCTGCACTCCCAGCGGGACTGCGGGGGGAGGGGGGGCGCTGGGACTGAGCCCGCCTTGCGGCTGCAGTGCTTTCCGATCTGCCTCCTGGGGTCCCGCGTCTCTGCAGCTGTGGGTATGGACCGCGCCTCTGCACGCCTCTGCACGCCCATCTCCGCTCTGTCTTCCCCCACTCGCCCGCCGAGGCCTCTGCCTCAGACTGCCAACCGTTGCGCTCTCGCTGCTCTCCAGGCCGCCTGTGAGGCGCGGGGAGCGAGCAGTGGGAACACTCTCTGATCTGCTCTCTGGGGCCCCGTGTCTCAGCAGCCGCAAGTGCGGGCTGTGCCTCCACGCATCTCCCCTCTTCCCCCACTCGCCCAGTCTGCCCACCTTCAAGTAATTGTCGTGAGAGACGTTCCCTTGATGAGTTACAGCTGTTCGAATTGCGGCGCTTTCCACGGGAGAACTCAGGGAGCTCTCCTCACAGCCGCCATTTCTATGACGTATCCCAACATTCAATATTATATTAGTTTCAGGTGTACAACATTGTGGTTAAACATTTATATAACTTACGAAGTGATCCCTGCAATAAGTCTAGTACCCATCTGGCACCATACATAGTTATTACAATACTATTGACTATAGTCCCTATGCTATACTTTACATCCCCATGACTAGTTTGTAACTACCAATTTTGTACTTCATAACCCCATCACCTTTTTCACCTAACCCCTCAACCCCCCTCCCACCTGGCAACCATCAGTTTGTTCTCTGTATCTATGAGTCTGTTTCTGTTTTGTTTGTTTGTTTATTTTGATTCTTAGATTCCATATATAAGTGAGATCATATGGTATTTGTCTTTCTCTGTCTGACTTATTTCACTTAGCATACTACCCTCTAGGTCCACCCATGTTGTTGTGAATGGTAAGATTTCATTCTTTTTCATGGCAGAGTAATATTCCATTGCATATATGTCCATCTTCTTTATCCAGTTATCTACTGATGGACATTTAGGCTGCTTCCATAGTTGGCTATTTTAAATAATGCTGAAATGAACGTAGTGATGCATGTATCTTCTTGAATTTGTATTTTCATTTTTTTTGGATAAATACCCAGAAGTGGAATTGCTGGATTATAAAGTAGTTCTATTTTTAATTTTTTGAGGAATTTCCACACTAATGTATCTTTTAATGTATTTATATTGTCTATCCTACTGAAAATGGAAATTTGATCTATTATCTCTCGTTCCAATTTCATTTTTATTTAGTGAAAATTTGCACAATTGATGATTTCTTTGTGGGTGGGAGGGGAGGAGCAAAATATTCCTAGTATTTCCCTCAGTCCTGTGGCAATGTTCTCTCTTCTTTTCATTACTGTGTAGTTTTAGAGGTTCAATTAGATGGCTCTTCTTTTGAATATAGCCATGATTGCTATGATTAAAAACATCACCAGCTGAAGCATAGTATCTTTGCTGACCGTTATTCATTTTGGGCTGTCAGTGTCTGAATACTTTTCCTGTGTTTTGGGAATTGCTTTTCTTATACTCCTGCTTCCTGTCTTCCACTACAAAAGCTGAAAACATTAGATCCTAATTTCCCCATCCTCCTTTGATCCTGAGAGGACCCCACTTTTGATTCAGGAGCTAAAGGTTCAAAGAAGAAAGGATACCACAGAATTTGTTCTGGTGGTGGTGGGTGGCAATAGTGACATCCGTTTTCTAAGGGTGGCATTCAGTAGTGGTGGAGGCAGCACAGCCAGCTGTGGTGTCCTGTATGTAGTTGCAACAGTTCTGTTGCCTTCACCAGGAAGCTTTTGTGGCATGCTTTTGACCATGGGCCTGGAGGCCTGGTTTTCCACCCTTCCCAGTAGCCACTTAGTGCATTTTTTTTTCTACTTAAAACCAGCCAAGATTGGTTTCTTTTGCGAGCAGGTAGGAGTTTTGCCTTATATGTTATCACAGGGCTTGGACTAGACCCCTGCAGTGGGTTCTCGTCTTAGTTCTGTCCCAAGCTGTCTGATCTTGGGGAAATCACTTAACTACTCAGATTCTTCATTTCTAAAATAAGGGTATTTTCAAGGTCTTTTTAGCTCTAAAATTCTATTATTTTTGCTTTTGCTAATTATCCAGTGAAATGCTAATGTGGTCCTCATTGGCTGCCAAACCCATCAGTGGGTATCACCAAAATTCTTCTCACAGTTATTTAAGTATAGGATTGTTCTTTTCTATTCTAGCAATTCCTGGGGTCTTGGGCCTATAGGTAACCCTACTGGTTAGCTAGTACTTACGGGTTCTATGTACTGCTTGTATCTTGACAGGTATAACAATGTTCTTTGTTTTCTGTTTAGTGATTTGATGAAGAGAAACATTCTTTTTAGGCACCAGTATGTTTCGAGGTTTACATGGTAATGTTGATTCAGACGAGAGCTCATTAATGGAGAGTTGAGATTTGAAGTCATAAATTGTAAAAATTACATTTTAATACAGTACTGTTGGCTGAGAGATTCACGATTTAAAGAGACCAACCTTTTTATAGTTTTTACATGTGCACAGTGGAACACTAATGTGATATAGTTTTTCAGTAAAGCTAGCAACAAATGCGTTGTAAGTGCCACCTCATTGTAGGGTTATAGTCATTAGCTCTGCAATTGTCTTAAAAATACGGAGAGAGAAGTGGGAAAAGGATCTTAGAGATCCACTATATTCAAACCTAGCTTCAAATAGAAAGAAGCTCCTGTGGCTTCCTTTCCCATAATTTGTGTCCTTTCAAACACCACATGAAAATAAAATGAGATCAACATTAATTTTGTCTTCTGCCTTACCTTAGTGAACTCAGATGATTTCTTGATGGTTTCAGTTGTCACCACAATAAAAATTGATTATATATATATCTTATATATAATTTTATTGGGGAACAGCCATAGTCATTGGTTACATATTACTTTCATGCTACAATGGCATAGTTGACTCTTTTAAGGAGGGTGCAGCTCACAGTGGCCCATGTGGGGACCAAACTGGCAGCCTTGGTGTTATCAGCATGTTGCTCTAATCAACTGAGCTAACTGGTCACCCCGATAATATTTTTGATTTGGTCATATTGGTCTCCGAAGCAGCAATGGAAACTGGGTAGCCAGTGAGGACAACAGGTATTTTGTTGGGAGAACCTTTTTTATTGCACCTTCTAGGGAAAAAGTTGGGCAGGATCTATTAATCAGTCATTCAGATTCAGGTTTAACAAACATTTACTGATCTCTAAATATGTTAGGGACTTTCTCCTATGAGGCAATGGCAAGTTTTTTAGTTAGTGCCCATATTGTGTTAATTACTATGGGGTATTAAGTATTAAACAGTCCTACAGCGGTCTTCAGATTTAGCCGGAAAAATATTCTTAAAATTAACACACAGAGAACAATTTTTAAATAGTTTAGGGTCAAACTACAATACTAACTATAAAAATGTAGCAGAAGTTTAAATGCAAAGATTAATGTGGTCCGGAGGGCCTGGGGCACTGTGTAACGCAGGTGGAACTGGAAGGGTATCATGTTTTGAGAGGTAGCGGGACAAGAAGGGAGACCCATTCAGGGAAAGGGGTGTGTCGTGTTCAAAGAAAGACCCAAGGAGGACGAGTGTGGCAACTGTGTGCGAGAGTGAAGAGAAAGAGGTATCTGGACTGAGGCTGGCGTTACCAAGTCATGTGGATATGTGGACAGTGAGGGTGGTACTCGATGAAAGGTTGAAGGGTTCATGCTTGAAATAGGCCGTAAAAAGGTATGATAATCATTTGTTTCTAGAGCATACAGAATAGAGTGTTTTGTGTATCCTCCTACATTTTCCTATTTTCTTTTGTTTTTCTTCAGACTCCCTCGAGCCCACTTATCAGCAGCTTCAGAAAATGAAACTGGACAAGAGTCCCTTTGTGGTCGTGTCTGTGGTTGGGCAGGAGCTCCTGACAGCTGGCCATCACGGGGCCTCTGTGGTTGTCTTAGAAGCCGCTCTGAAGATTGGCACCTGCAGCCTCAAACTGAGAGGCTCCGTTTTCTCTGCCCTGAGCAGTGCTTACTGGTCTCTTGGAAACACAGAGAAGAGCACTGGATACATGCAGCAGGACTTGGATGTAGCCAAGACCTTAGGTAGAGTTACGCTTCTCTCCTTTATTTCAGTACAGAAAGGAACTAAAGAAAGCCGATTAGCCTGGCATGAATGGGGATAACATGTGCGATGAAAAGTGAGGGTGTCTCTAGAACATTGTCTGTTCTACAGTACTCAGGTCTTTAGGGCTTTTCCTCTAACAGGGTACCGAGACACCCCAAAGACCAAGGGATGTGGATTAACATATTCATTGCCCCCCTCAGAGATCTGGGCTCACAGATGGAATATCCCAAATGATAGTGGTGGTGGGTGAATCTTTCATCTTAACTTTAAGTTTTGCCTACCTTAGAATGCATCATCAATTTTTGGGGGCGACAGCATTGTGCAGTGGTTACGCGTGTGGACAATGGAGCCAGACTGCTGTGTTCAGAATCCTGGCTCTGTCACTTAATAGCAGTGTGACCTTCAGCACGTTGCCCAAGCTCTGTGCTGCCATTTTGCCATTTGTAAAATACATGTGGCTTATGCTTGCAATTGTTGTTATGGTGATTATTCAAGGACTTGCGTGATTGCAGTAAGAGAAGGGATATGGTGAATCGACCATCAGCATTCCTGTAAAGGAGCAATATGTACTTGTATTACAGTAGGTTCGAAGTCAAATGACTGAACCATCAAGCTGATGCTTGTTCAGAACCAACAGTCATTAGCTGAGCAATGAAGTGACTCAAACAGCAGCTGGTTTGTATCAAGGTCTTTAACCTCTCATTTTCAGGACACCTATGTCCCTGACTGCAGTTGTATAACAGCAATAACAGTTGTTATCCAGAGATTTAAGTTCTGGGACAGCTTCCCACATATTGTCTGGTAGAAGAAGAAAATACTTTTCTAAAAGAAGGCAGGTGAAATCTTAGCCAGTAAGTCTGTAGCTTTTCAATTAATCTGGCCATTATATATTAAAATATTGCTATAATGCTATAAGTTAGAGAAGTTTAATCTTTTGTTTCAACCCAATGCAGGTGACCAGACAGGAGAATGCCGAGCTCATGGGAATCTAGGCTCTGCATTCTTCTCCAAAGGAAATTACCGGGAGGCTCTCACTAACCACAGGCATCAGTTGGTGCTCGCCATGAAACTCAAGGATCGAGAGGTAGGAGGTTTACCTGCAAACCCCCAATTTTTTTTTTGAAACAAAATGTTTTAGGTACCTTCAATTGTTACTTTCAGAAGTTGATAATCATTGCTTCTGTATTTCATCAACAACCAGGTGTTGGGAGTCTACCATGTGTAGGCCTTGGGGATGTAGAGATAAATAAACATGGTCCCCGACTTCAGGATCTAACTGCGTGGTCTGATGCACTGTGCTTCTCCTCAAATGTGCTGTGGAGTAGACGTACGTAAAGTTAGCAAAAAGCTATATTATCATGAAACAGTCATTGAATTAAAGAATCATGCATTGTGCTTTATTTGAGGTAGAGTATTATTACTGCAAACCTTTCGTGTTTCTTCACTGGATTTTTAACTCAGGTGGTAGAAGCATATTAAGTCTGATTGAGAGACTTGAATTGTAATGATAAAGAAATATCATCCCAGTCTTCATTAGAGAAATGAAATGTGATGTTCTCAGAGGCTTGATATCTAGGAGATGTGACATGACGAGAAAGTGCCTACAGAGTGGAGGGAGGGTGGAGTTTGGAGTGAGATAGACCCAGATTTGAATCTCTGCTCCAGTACTTCTTGGATCTGTCATCTTGGGGAAGTTATTACTTAACCCTTTTTGCCTCTGACTTCTTACTCAGAAAATGATGATTCTGTTTATTCCATACACAGTTGTCAATAGGATTATTACTAATATATGTAAAGTACTTAGCATGGTACCTGGAATTCTATAATGGAATTCCATAAATGATACTTGTAATATAATATTAACGAGGAAGAGACAGTTAATAGCAGAGGCAACAATAAATTTATGAATCAATTATATGTTGGGAAATATGTTTAGTTATATTTATACTGCAGAATTTCACTAAGGGACATTAGGGAGAGTAATCATATTATTTAAATGACCCAATATCTTCAAGTGTCTAGAGCACTAGGAAGGAACTGGGGAGGAAAGCAGCCGTGCGCCAACAGTGTGCTGGCATCTCCTCTTGGGAAGACTGGACTTCTGCGAAGTCTCTCTCTTCCATAGGTGTTAGAAAAAAGCCTTTGAAAGCTACCAAAATAGACCATTAAGGGCCATGAACTTTTGGTGATTTTGTTCTCAAGAGAATTACCTAAACACTTTTCTCTTTGCCTATTTACTTGTAGATTACATACATTTCTTATAAGCCATATGATCTGAAGTCTTGATGTTAAGAGAACAAAAAGAAGGATCAGACTTCTAGAGGCAATATCCTGATGGCATTAAGAAGTGAGAGTCATGTTTAAGAACTAAAACAGCATAGTTGTCTAAATAGGGCCATTTAATGAGGGGACAGATAGTTATTAATATGTCAAGGACTGCATTTATATTCTTTATTTTCTTAACCTTTGGGATGTGTATATTAGCCCAATTACTGGCTAGGGGTGAAAGACTTTTCATTAGGGGCCTAGGATTGTCATAGGTATTAAAAAGGAAACGTGAAATTTTTTTGCCTTTCCTCTTAATAGTGTAATTTTCTGTAGCCTATGTTATCTGTGTTTCATAAACTTTTGTTGTACAATAGGTTATGAAGAAATTATTGAATTACAAGGGTGAAAGGGACCTTGAGATAATACTGGTACCAGTTTGCTGCCCCAAACCTTCCTATATTAGAGATGTCACCTACCACAGACACTCTCTCTCCCCTTCCGTTGGCTTCTGCTTAACCACTACTGCAGTAGTTCACAAGCCTGCTGATTGGGAAATACTTTTTATGTATAAGTAAGAGACCCTGAAATTGATTTTTAAACCTATTTTCTTCCCCACCCCCCCTGGGGGTAGATAGAGAAAGTCCAGCTACTATAATTAAGAGTTTCCTCAAAGTTTCAGATTATCAAAACCTAAATAATTTTTACAACCCTCTTTTGGCTGTTCCCCTTCTACTCTGGCCTATTCCGGTTGCTGGTTAGCCATAGCATAACTATAGCAGAAGCCTTGTTCTGGATGTTCTGCTGTCTAGCCCATGCTAGCTGCCCTGTGTTGCCAAAGCAAATTTATCTGATTTCTAGATTGACCTATAGAATTTCTCTTTTCTCTTACTGTGTGTCTCTTCTGTTGTGTTTTGTCTCTGGAATTATAGGGTACCATTAATTTTCTGATAAAATAATGTAATTTCATTACCACTTCTCTAATTTTTTTTAATAAGTTTTTTTTTTTAAAGATTTTATTGGGGAATTGGGGGAGAGGAACAGTGTTAGGGAATTGGGGAAGGGAAGCAGCCAAGTTGTTGTCCTTCAATCTTAGTTGTGGATGGCGCAGCAAGCTCAGCTCCAAGTCCTGTCGTGCCGCTCAGCTCAGGTGCTGAGTTCAGCCTTAGTTGCGGGTGGGCGTAGCCACCATCTCATGCGGGAGTCGAACCAGCAGCCTCGTTGTTAAGAGTATACACTCTATCCACTGAGCCATCTGGGCGGCAGCTCAGCTCAAAGTGCCTAGTTCAGTCTTTGTTGCAGGTGGGCATAGCCCACCATCTTGAACAGGCAACCTTTTTGTTAAGAGTATGTACTCTTACCAGCTGAGCCATCCTGCCTGCCACCTGTTGGCAACTCAGTGGCAGCTCAGCTCAGGTGCAGCTCACTGGCCCATGTGGGAATCGAACTGGCGACCCTGTTGCTCAGAGCTTGTACTCTTGAGCAAGCTCTTAACCAACTGAACCACTCGGCTGGCCCCCACTTCTCTAATTTATTTTAATTTTTAAATTTTATTTTATATTTTTTATATTTTTATTTTCTCTAATTTTTATGGTTGTATTTGAGTGCTGCTTCTTGTCTACCTGCAATTAACTGGATCTTAATTCCCCATCCCTGAATCCGGCCACCAATTGTTAACACTGGCATTAATATTGGTTCAGAACTTAAAGGAGTATGTAAAATGTCTAATGGGAACTCTTACAATAATATGTGTTTTGTTTAGTTCCAAAGTTTCAGTTGACCAGTCTTCTGGGATTTAACTCAGTTAAGTGTGAGGTCTGCTCTCGAAGTGCCTAACGTGTGCAGAGCAGTGTGCTGAGGGTTCAAGGTCTAGGTGGTGGGTGTGGGGTCACTCCCCTTGAGGGGCTTATGTTCCTTCTGAGACAGAACTTTAACACAACAAAAATATTAAAACACTGCTTGAGCAATGAATGACGAATGTTGTCTTAATCACTGCCAAGACTCTGGAATTCTAGAGGAGACAGTGACTGGTATAGACTTGAGGAAGCTTTGTGAAACAGGTGGAACTCAAGTTGGCCTCTGAGTAAGACATAGAAATTGGCATTTGGGGTTCTAAAGCCTGAGCAGCATTATCAGTCGTGTTTTGCTGAGTGATAAGATAGTTCATGCTAGCAAAGATCAGATATTTTCCACCATCCTACTCAGTATAATCACAGACTCTTGGTTTTTATAAAAGGTAGTATTTATTAGTTTTATTCAGTTACATAAAAAATACATGAAAATAGCCAATTGTAAGCTTATCATCCTGTTAATATTTTGGCTAGAATCTTTTGGTCATATATGCAGTTATAATTGTTTATATCTATTCAAACAAAAATTGAAATCCTATTGTAGTACTGTTTTATAATTTGTTTTTCATTAATATTTTCCCACTAATTTTTAAACATTTCTTCATCTTATTAAATGTTCTACTGAAAGTCTTATGGCTTTATTATAATTTATTTAATCTGTCCCTTTACTTTTTTTTTAGTTTCAGGTGTACAAAGCAACTAATACTTAGACTTTAAACCCCTCATAAAGTGATAACCCACCCCCAAGCTACTACCCCTCTGACATCTTATATAACTGTTACAATACCATTGACTATCTGCCCTATGTTGTACTTCACATCCTGTGACTATGTATACCTATATATTTAGTTATAGTTGACGTTCAGTATTATACTACTTCAGCTTTAGGTGTATATTGCATTGGACACAGTCTCTGAAGTGATCCCCCTGATAAGTCTAGTGCCCATGTGGCACCTTACATGACCTTTACAACATTGTTGATTATATTCCTCATACTGTATTAACTACTAATTTGTATTTCTGAATACCTTCACCCAAAGAGGCCAACACCAAGACACATCATAATTGAAATGCCTATGGCCGGCCGAGTGGCTCAGTTGGTTAAGAGCTCGCTCAAGAGTTTGAGCTCTGAGCAACAGTGGTTCAAGTCCAGCCCGAGCTGAGCAGCCGCTGAGCTGCCAACAGGTAGCAGGATGGCTCAGCTAAAAAAAAAAATAAATAAAAAAATAATGGAAATGTCAAAGGTTAAAGACAAAAAGAGAATCTTAAAAACATCAAGAGAAAAGCAGTTAGTTACCTACAAGGGAGCCCCCATAAGACTGTCAGCTGATTGCTCAACAAAGAAGGGAGTGGCAGGAAATATTCCAAGTGATGAAAAGCAACGATCTACTCTACCCAGCAGAGCTGTCCCCATAATGTTATACATTTAGTTTGTTTCAAAATATTTGGTATTATAAAATCTGGCAAAAAACTTTGTAGGTAAATCTTTGAACATCTCTCTCATCATTTCCTTTGGTCAAATTTTTAGAAGTGGGCTTGCTTGGAAAAAACATATTAAGGCTTCTGATACTTATTGTAAATTGCCCTCAGAAAGGCTGTATCTTTTTTCAGTCCTTCCGGCAATGTATCAAAGGTTTCATTTCCTTGCACTAGCTAACATGAGGCATTACTAAAAAGTCAATTTGATATGTAAAAAGCAAACAAACAAACAAAACACCTGGTATCTTATTGTTTTAATTTGCATTCCTTTGATATCTTTTGGGTTTGATTATTTAAAAAAAATTTTTTGTATAAAATGTTTTATGCATATTTATTTTATAAGGAGCTTTAATATTCGACCTAATTGTTTCTTTTGTGATATTGGTTATTTTGTTGGGTTGTCAGAAAAGTCATGACGTATTTTGTCTATGTTTTTCAAGGGTCATTTATTTATATAAAGAACAAAGAACAATCAATGATATATTGCCCA